GAGAAGACAGCAATCATGTAAGGCTTCGGGGAGAGCTAGGGCCTGTGGCCTCTGCTATGGGCGGGTGGCCAAGGATGTGAAGGATCTGGCACCCAGCAATTGTGCTAGCAGGCAAGGTAAGGGAACAAAGCTGTCAAAAGGAAGCTAGGTTAGGACTGGTTACATTCGATCCTAGAGCTAACCCAGGTGGAACAAAAGGAAGCTACAAGGTGCCAGAGCGAGGGCCACGGTCCTGGACAAAAATGATTTTAAACTATGCTCAACAGTTCTCTGCCATCCCTCTCTCCACAAAGCAAAGAGCAGTGAAAACACTAGACCAAAGGATCATTGAAAGACTAGTTATGCAAGCACCCCACTACTGTCCATTGAGTCCTATTTATACTCTTTCCAAACATCAAGTGTCTTCTCATGGGTCTTGCCTTAGCAAAACACCACGTGAGTTTGCATCACATGACACGATCAGAAACTTCCATTTGATGAAGTCAGTAGGAATCTGTTTCATGTAATCACAGTGTTTTAAAAGAATATCCGATGATCACTTTGGAATGCAGATATCAACTATTGATGATCAGAACAGTTATTAAACAATTTTAATATTGTTGACTATTCCAAAGCAACTAAAGCCAAGAATGTAGTGAGTTGAATATTGATGCACAAGAAATACACCATTTCAGCTGCCTGTGTGATTAACAAGGTAACAAAGTTGGATCTTTTGGGTTCTAGTTACAGAATACTTCCATACACTAAGACAAACTTTGATGACATTACTTGGGTACATAGGTGACACAGCCGTGCTATGCTCTGTTCTAGAAACCAGGAGTTAAGAGATCCTATTTTGTGTGAAACTGGAAAGATATCCATTACACAAAAACTAGCAGAGAATGGGTAAACAGTAAGATAGCACAGGGGGAGTGGAGGAAATCACATCTGAAATGCACAGTACATTTTTTTGTCATTATTTCCTCAAGTCCACATTTACATATCAGTTTTATAAATAAAACTAGTGGGAATATTTCAACAGCCTCTGAAAAATCTTTTTGAAAATTATTTTTGTCTCTTAAGTATAGAAAAGTAATCTGCACCATTGTTTAAAAAGCCACAAGATACGCTGATCGTTATTACTTGTCTGTCACTATATGGTATCTATGGACAGGAAAAGAACCAAGCTGTATGTTTTAAGTTTCTCGTGGCATTTTGAATCTATCAGTAAGATCATTCAACAAATTTCTTTAATTTCAAATGCTATTAAACTGACTGTGAATTTGAGCAAATTGATCATGAGTGGTAGGAAATATAAGCCTCTAAAGCAAATACCATGAAAATAAAAATCTACCTCTATTAATCTAAAATGATGTTTTAGAAATGCCAACAAATTTTAAATTTTGAAAGTTAATTAAAATTATTAATTAAATACAATTATTAAGGTGTCAGAGTGCCCATTTTGAAATTTAACTTCACTGTGTGGCTCTACTGATAAGTGACTCTACTGATAACTAGGACTTAGTAATGTGCCTGAAGCAATGGAAGAGAGAAACACCTTAGTGTAGTATATAGCAGCAGTGTTATCCTCCAACATCCCAATCCATCCCTTGGGTCTGCTAAGGTCATGCCTATCTTGAAGACCATGTTTTACTACCTGGACTTATTAAATCACAAGAATTTCATTCATATATGTATCATTAACCATAGAAGTCACTTATTCTACATTCAAATGTGCTTGGTTGGCGGTTTGGGCGGAGTGTGCCTCATACAATTCTGTCCTTTCTTTCCTCTCCCTTGAGATATCATAGCTATGATGAACTACCCAACTTCCTCCCCTCTCAATGTCAGCCTCTCTGCATACATATACATGTGTATATATATATATATTTTATTCCTATCTACTTATCTCAGTCTCTCTGTGTATATATCTATACCAACCCACTTTTATCCTATATACCTATCTCTATCTATTACATCAATCTCATCCATATATTTCCATTTCTTTCCTTTTCTTCTATCAATTATGGCCTTGAATAATCAAAAAAATTGTTTTTTCCTAAGACAAGGCAAGTTCATGGGTATGCGACCAATGTAGTTATCCTGTGCCCTTACTCAAGCCCCCACACTTGTTTGGTGTGCCTCAGTTATTGTTCTGAAATTCTTAGTAATTTTTTCCCTTGACCTTGTATCATGCAAATGAAGTCTAATGGGATAATATAACATGTTCATGTGCAAAGGGTATATTTGTAATAAGTGTTTTCATTGTTCTCCATTAATGTGCTCTGGATTCTGGTAGCCCTTTGAGTCATCAAAGTTTGGCAAGATACAAAAAGCTACAAGGTAAAGATGACAAGTTCATGCTCAAGTCTGAACAGTTATAGTCCCCATAGTCACATGCTTTACTTGAATCAGAACTTGTGATGAAATAAGTAAATCACCAAGGATCTCTGTTATACCCTCTTACTCTTCTCACATTCTCTGTTAGAATGTTGAATTGACAGTGATTACATAGCAATATAAGCAAAGACAATAGAACTCAGACTTCCTTTTTTCTTTCAATCATCGAACCACAGGAAGCTGAAGGCAGAGTGTTTGCTCGTTATGTGTCTATTACGATGTACAAGATGTACAATGTGGGTAGTGAGCTGGCTCAGCAGGTAAGGGTACTTGCTGCAAATTGCCTCAGTTGATCCTGTCAGGACCCACACTGTAGAAGAAAAGTACCAACTCTCAAAAGTTGTCCTATGGCATCCATACACATGGGCAGGTAAGCACATTCCCACCCCCACCACAAATGCGATAAAATTTGAAGTGTAATATATGCTCATTCGATGAACAGATCGATCCTGGTGTTCTGACAAGAATAAAATATGTTCTCATCTGTGAGCCATAAGACACAAATTATACAGTTTTAGTGATTTCACATGTTAATTTTTTGTTTGTATTTGAAATTGCTATTGAACATACAAAGATTAAATTTATACTAATAACTAAACTAATTTAAACTAATAACATTAGAAGGCTATCAAACTTAAATAGCATGATGTCGAGGTTTCATGGAAAGAAAATATTAAGCTTTAGTATTTTTAATCACAAACATTATTTTAAATTAGGGGAGACTGCATTTTTAAATGTATTTTCTTTAAGGAAAACATAAACTGTTTCAACTGTCTCATCCGTTACATAGATGTTGATTGTCAAGGATGCAAAGTAGATGGCATTCTGTTTTCTGGACTCGATTTGAAACCTAATCACACTTCATTGCCAGAAAATCTGTTTTAGGAGCAAATAAAGAACTTAGAAACTACATTTTGTCCCACACTTTATCGGTAGATCAAAAAAGCTATTTGACTTTAGTCTACATTTTTATGTTCAAATGTAATGCTTGAGGTATTGAATTTTCTACCTGCTTGAAACAAATTTTAATGGTTATTTAACAAATTTTAAGAGCTTTGTGTTTTGTCAATACCTTGGTTTTGACTTGGACCAGTGATAGAAAGACATTCTAAATGGACCGAAGTCAATCAAATCGGAAAAATACAAAATTCTATTTTTGTGAAAAAATTTGGGGATTTTTCCTGCCTGTGTTCTTGGTTTTGTATCATCAGAACACTTAATTGATCTTGTCATCTTTAGTCAACCATCTCCCAATGACAGCCAAGACGTGCGTGCTTTCTACTAGATCATCTCTGAAAATAGACACAAATTACTAATGCTATTCATCTCCAAGTCAATAAAGCAAGCTAAAGATTTTTAATTTAGAATTTTAAAAGTACAAAAGAATGGAAAAATAATTCTATTCTCTGTCCATTGTGATCAGGATCAGTAACGATTATTCTGTAAATTAAACCTACTTTGACCCTCATTTTTTGAATGCAAAAAGAGTTTGGGGTGGCTAGAAGGACCATCACAGAAAAAGAAAGCCTATCATCTCTCTCACTGAATTATACTTATCCCTGACCCTTGTCGTCATTTAAGCACACTGCTTTTGGAGAATGGTGGCTTACTTTAGCTTTATGAAGATTGTTTTAATGCTATTAAAGTTTATCTTCCTAGTTAATAGATCACATTGAAAATCATTTTAAGTGTATTTTACAGACACAGCCCTAAGTCAGAGACTTAAACTATAGTTACAGTCAATGTTTAAGTTGAGAATTGATTTATATGGTCAGTGTTTATAATGGGAAACACTACTTTTCAAAGAGTACAGTTACAGAAAGCTCTATTATAAATACCACACCACTGCCATACAGTAGCAACACAACTGTAAAGCATCTTAACATGGACAGTAAACATATCTGCTTCAAAAAACATTATTTTTGTGTAACCTCATAGTAATCCTTTGTGATATAAAATGAACAACTACACTTCCCCACATCCCAACAAACTTTTAAGCACATAAATGGACTCCATGCTCCATGGAAACAAGTATTAGGTATTTGTGTGAACGTTTTAAAAGGTCTAAATAGGAGGGAGTGCTTAAAAGCTAAACATCACAGTTCCTTCCAGACTTGGAACAAATGCATTAACGAGGTATGAGAGACTCCCACTTCCGTAGCAGATGTTCTACTACAAGAATACAGATTTTCTCTGTTCCACTGGGCAGTATCAGGAAGGAAGAGAACTGATTCCTGCTAAGAGGTTGAGACAGTAAGATGAGACTTTTGAACAAAGTTTGCACTGACTTTCTCTCCTTTGACTTTGGGTGAACGGGAGTTCAAGGGAAAATCAGGAAAGATGAGTCAATCATCATCCCAGCTAGGGAGGAGTAACTCTCCCAGGTTAAAGTTGACACTAACATCAAAAAGCGCCATACTGGAAGCTCTGGAAGAGGTAAAGACCCAGACTCACAGGACTAGAGCCATAGCAGCTGTCGCTGCCCTTCCGGAAGCCCCGCCCGCTCCATACTTGGTTCCTACCACGCCTCTCTTACCCTGTGCCCCAGAAGACGGAAAACTACATTTCCCAGAATGCAACTAAATCGTATCGCCCGGCGCCTATATCTGTCCGGGTGACGACATAAACCGGCGCAGTGTTTAGACTTTACTGATGTCGTGGCGCTCTGAGGCGAAAAGTTGGTGCTCTGAGGAGCCCTGGGACTGAAGCCGAGGTCGGGTGACCCTGGCCCTTTCCTACCCACTCCTCCTTGCCCGCCTTTTCCTCTCCTGGCAGGATGAGGCGTGCAGGCCTGGGTAAGAACAGTGCTGAGGTTCGAAGTTTGGGGACCCTAGGACCTGCTTAGCCGGGAGTAGGGGTGTGGGAGGGAAACTACCGGCCTTCTGTCAATGGCTTTAGGGTTCGAAAGCGAGTTGTTTGGGTTCTTTGGAGTAGTTTCACATCATTTGTCCCAGTTCCGAGCGTTTTCCTTAAGTTGTATTTAAACAAAAGTTTAAACCTATATGGTAGGTTTCACAGAGTGGTGAGTTGGTTAGTGTAAGTTTTTCTTTCTCTCTGTGCTAGTTTGAGGAGTAGCCATATTTCCCAAGCCATATTTCCTTTGCTTTACTCATTCTTGATCTTACTATTTTTTTTTAAGAAGTGACATTTGGGGAGTGGGTAGTAAGCTTTAAGCCCGCCAATAACGATGTGTTAGTATGATAACAGTGAGTTACAAAGGTAAATTTACGTGTCCTTATTGTTAAAGTGCCTGCTGTTGAAAGGTCTGGGTCAAAGGTGAGTTTCTTGGAACATTTCTCACCTAGACCTTGTCCCACTGCTAAGGCAATAGAAGGTAGTTTTCATGACTTACCACTTGTTCTTGCCTTTATGGATCAGGGGAAGGAATAACTTAATAACAACAGAAAATAATTAGAATATTGTTTTCCGGTTCTGAAGTTCTTTATTAACAAACTTTTAAAGAAGGAAGGGCAGAGTGCTTGAAAAATGTATGAAATATTAAAAAGGATGTTGCCATTCTGGCATAAATTGAACTAATAAAAACATAGTTTTAAAAAGTTTTAGGTGTTTAAAGCCAGTGAATGGACAAACGCTTAAAATTATGTATGAAGCATATAAAGCCTCTTTTGCAACTCATAATTCACTGCTTGTTATGAGTTTTAATTATATAAGAAGCAATACAATACTCATGACAGTGTGGAGACATGGTAGTATTTTTAATAAGATTGATTATATGAATAGAATATGAGGTATCTAAAGCCACTGAAAAATAAGGGCCTTAAAAGGGGTCAGTAATATAAATTTACAGGATTATCAATAAATAGTTGCATGTGAAGGAAGTTGTAAATTTAATGAATGTTTGAAATCACTGAAAGAAAGTAGTCCATCTCAGATAACCTAAAGATCTACTTTCAAACAAGATTAGTCATATATGCCTATATTTTTCCATTGCTAATGACATCAGACATTTATTGTGACACACCGTGTGCTTCCCAAAACTTCCAGTGTTACCGAGGAGCAGAAGACAGATTGCTTCTGAAGCAGATGACAAATTAAAATCCAAGGTGGTAACTTTTCATCCCAGAACAAGTTCAGTTCAATAGACAGTGAATGCAGTAGGGATTTAATAATGGCTCATTGTGGACCTCCTGGAGCTAAGGGAACTTGAAGGATGCCAGTGACAGTGAGGACTGGGAGAAGTAAAGTCCCAGATGCGAACGAAGATGACCAGACAGGATTCAGGATAGTTATGAATGATGTGTACAAGAGACTGTGGTGATGAAGTCACTTTGAGTGAAACTAGGACCCCGAAGCTTCCAGAGATCTTTGTCTGTTCAACGACTTTGCATTTCATCAGTAGGCCACGGGCCTATTAGAATTTCCTTTGTGCTGTACTGTTTTTAGTGCATGAAGGTCAGGGACTTGACAGTAGGTTTCTATCTCTGACTTTATGTTAGAATTACTCAGAAAGATGTTAAATTAGATTTTCAATTAAATTAGAATCATCAGGCTAGAGTCCTCTCCTAATTCTTTTTGAAGTGCAGTGGAGAAGAGGGATAATTATTTGGTTAAGTATGCTTATCACTTAAATTGGTGTTAAATTATGAAGACTTTTAAAAGTACCATGCGTGTTGACCTGAATTTGAAATTTGAAATAATGGTGAGTCTGATAGGTATTCATATGTAAAACTTGCCACATTACACATGGGCTATTAAATGAATTGGCCTGATTATTGATAGAACCTGTTTCAAGGAAGTAGCATTTTTCAGAAATGACATCAGCTGAAGATGACCTTCAAGACTTGCTTTTCTACAATTCTTCATAGTAGTAATTAATTCTCACTGAAAAATTGGGTCTCAGTTAGAATAGCAACTGTAGTATTTTATTTTTATTTATTTATTTATTTTACTGTAGTATTTTATTTTAGATTAGTTTGTTTTGTTCTGTTTTTCTGTTTGGGGGTGGGAGATGGTGTGAAGAAAGAAATTTGCAACTGCATTAAAAATTTCTGGACCAAAGACGGAATGTTTTGCTTTAAAAGAACAAAATGGAAGAACTCTGAATTTAAATTTAAGATAGGCCAAAGAGTCAAAGCAAAAGAAATAAAACAAAATAACCATTAATTTTAGACAAATTCATTGATGAAGTTGTCTAATAACTAACTTCATCCAATCCAGAATTACTTACTGGACAATATGTCATACCCCAGTCCTTAGTCACATAAAACAAGTTGCAGCTCTTAAATCTTGTTAGGGTTTGCATGGAGTATTTTAAGTGTTGGTTTTAGTTGGGGAGTGGGGAAAAATGATTATGCCCAATCCACCAGCTTTTGATCTGTTTGGAAATATGTGTGGAGAACTTCAGGGAGAGCATGCTAGCCAGCAAGTGTGCAACTGTCCCCTCTGAAATAGCTGACATTTTGTTGTGGCTTTTGTGATACAGGGAGAAATATAGACATCTGACACATAGAGTGCTCATTGGGTGCAAGAGGATAGAGAAGCATGAGACACTCTGCCATTGACAAAGTTGGTTAATAGTAAAGGAAAAATGTCCTTTGTAGCTCATTTATAAGTATTTACTTAAGTACTGCTGTAGGCTGTGTGTTTGTGTCTGCATGCTTGCTTGTACAACTCTGTGCTTATAGAGATCTAGAATGATAAATGAGTACATTTCGTTTATGCTCTTATCGTTTAATGTAGGCGGTCAATGTTAGTGTTATACAGTCAGAGCTAGAAGGGTTCACGAGTTTTGCTACTTCAATAAAATTAAATTGTGCTGTGATTTAAAAGAGTTTCTTATTCACACACAACCATTCTTCAGCTACTAGACTTATTGATATCCACTCTCTTGGCTGTTACTATGATTATTCTTACTATCATTGCTACTGCATTTGCTGTTTGAGCCTGTGGTAGCCTATAGCTTTAAGGGTATCCCTTTCTTCTGACTTCCTAGATCATTAGAGAATCTGCTTCCAGCCGTAGACAATCTAGTCCCTTCAATACATATTACACTCTTTTGTCCATCAGACTACATCAAAGTTTGTGGGTTTGTTCTGCAGTCCCAATATTAATGAAAACTTTCAGTTCTAGAGCCATCCAACAGTGTGGCTTCTTAACGGCTGACTGAGACCAAGGAGCCATTCTGTTGAGAAGCTTGTATCTGGGAGGGAAGAAGCCAATTCAGTATACTGCCATGGCAATGTTTAATTTATTCTTTTAGTAGTACTGACTGATTTGAGTCATGGTTCTTTCATGATTCTCTTTATTGTTTATTCTAAGGGATCACTCTTCTTTACTATGTAGCTTGCTTTCTTCCTTTACAAAGAAAATGATGCCATCAATTTATTACAACTTGGTGAAGTGCCCTCAGTCCCTAAACATTTATGTATGGATTTGTTGCCTAATGCTCACTGTACCTGTTGTTTCCTGGTGACTGCCGAGTACTATAGTAGACAGTAATGGATTCCTCTATCTTCCACGTCATCTCCTAGAATGCAAGTTCTGTAAACATAGGAGAAAAACAAATATTGGTTGGAAGATGTGTGAACTTCTTGAGACTCTCAGCTAATGGCCTCAACAAGCCACTGTGTCTCTTCCCCAGGGTTTCATCTATGGCCCTCTCTTCCCTTTGTTCTTTGGTTTCTACTATTTGCTTATTATTGGAGAAAGATGCTAGGAAAATTCTACCATCTTTCCACCATGAGAACCCTCCCTCCACATTATCTTTCTCCCTTTCATCTTACAAGTTTCCCTGATGGGTAGATAGTGCTACGTTTATGTCTTTTATTAAAACATATATTTCTAGTGTGCAACAAATTTCTTCCAGATATCCTTGTACATCTGTGTCAAGTTTAGTGTTTTTTAAGCAATCAATAAATGATCAATAAATATATATTTAAGAAAATGTATACTCAAAAGAGGATATGAAAAGAATTTTTGTAATATCTGGTTCTGATTTTTAATAGTTGATTTACAGTGTTGCTATAATAGGTATATGTAGTCTGCAATGCCCTCCGGGGGTCTTTTTCATCTTCTTTTAGCTACTAAGATTTAAGAGTAGCTTCTGTTTTTCCAGTCCTACATGTGTGCCTCTGATCCTTGTAGGTGACGGAGCACCTCCTGGCAGCTATGGGAACTATGGCTATGCCAATAGTGGCTATAATGCTTGTGAAGAAGAGAATGACAGACTCACTGAAAGTCTGAGAAGCAAAGTAACGGCTATAAAATCTGTAAGTACAGAACCAGTGCCGTTCACATTGTAACTCATAGTTTTGAACTTATTGTCATCAAGGAAGGGATTCATTTCAGAATGGTGTACTGAAGTCAAAGTGCACCAAAAGTTCAGACCATTCATTAATAAGTTAGAAGATGTGGCAAGTTCAAAGACACGGTATTCTTACTTAATTTTTTTTCTTAAACCATACCTAGCAAAATCTAAAATGCACTATACCTTATATGCTGTAGTTCCAACGGTTCCAGGCATGCTTTCTGTATAATTTTAGGTTACAGTAAGTGCTAACTTGTACTTTTTCCCCATTTGTAATTGTAATAAAGAAAACATATTTAAAATAACCAGTCTAGACTTATAATCAAAGAAATGCCATACTTTGTTAGGAAAATATTAAATGTATATGTGTATTTTTGACTTGGTCCTGTGGTACTTGTACGTTGTAAAATGTAAGGAATATACAGGTAAATATATTTGTATGAATAAAAGAGAAAATAAAATGTGTTAGAATAAGAGAACCAAAGAATGTTAACTAGCAGGTTGAATATTATAAAGAAGAGAGAAAATGCCACTGTTAGAAGGACATTTTCCAGTAATTTCACTGGTCAGAGCATTGGGGGATCTAGTGAAATAGCCCTTCCAGCCTTTTCTTCTAGTGGCTTAAAATATAATACTTCCATCTTTGAGCCTCATTTGAATCTTGGGCCTTCCCATGTTTCTCTAACATGGCCCTACCATTTATGTATAGATCCCTGGGAGAATCCCTGGACCTGTCTCAGCTCCCCCTGATCTTCATAATGTTCACAGCTATTGGTAGAATTTTGTTAAAGCATGTCCTGCTCTCTCAGAAGTCTTTGGATTCTCCTGCTATCACTCTGTAGTTTGATTGCTCTCTCAATGTTCTTCAGAGAATGGCCTGCCTTTCAGAGCTTCTCCCCAACACATCCAGAATGCATATGGATTTGCAGCCAGACAAATGAAAGTTCTCTTTTGTACTCTGCGTACCACTGTGACCCTATTCCATGTTTTTAAAAAATCCAATTGCCTTTAGTACTGTCACCATCTTCCTTCTTCCGGGAAGATGCCAGTGCTGCATCTGCCCTTCTCCATGCTTTATCTCAGGACTATATCCGGTATTAACTCATTCCCTATAGAATAAGGATCATTTGTGTCATTCAGTGTAGTTCCTTCTCAGCAGTACTGAGTAAACTTCTGTTAAAGGAATTATAGAAGATGATTTGAAAAGTGTATGTTACTGATTTCCATGGCAATAAACATACTACCCACTTGTGAAACATCAAGAGAAGGTCACAGTCTCACATGTAATTGGTATTTAATATCAGTCTTTGGAAAGTTATATTCAAGTTGAACTCAAAATAGTGTTTTTGATATATGGTATTATTTCCAAAGTTATCCTAATTAAAATGATTTAATCTATGGACCTAGTAAGGTAGCCCATTAAAAAGTTAACTTACACATTGGGAAGGACAGAGAATTAAATGTCTTAAACCACAAAACAAGCCAACAAATCCCTCTGTGGTTGATGGGGAGGATTCTGTGTTAGAAGAAAGCTATGATATACTGAAGATTTCTTTCCTTGGCATAGATTTCATGCTCAGAGTAGTTGAATAGGTTGAAATGCCTGCTCTATCATCTAAGCTGATGAATTTGGAGGAAAACCTCATATCTGTTCTGCATAATAGTAGTATAATTTCATAAAAGTGTTATATATGCTTTTTACACAAATTAAATTTAGAAGAACCTTTATGTTTACTCACAAAGAGTTTCAGCAATTGTATCTAGTCAAGTGCATTAGAAGGGAAATTTTTGGTGACTTTGTTGTGTAAGGTATAACGTATAATATTGCATAGCAGCTGTAATTAGTTGCTTGACATGCTCAAACTGTTTCTGTATAATTTTAAGTTATACATAATACTAACCTTTAAGGGCTTTTGCAATTTATTATATTAAAGCCAAAGTCTTTAAAATAATAAATCTCAACTTAAATTCAAAGAAATGCCCTTTTTTAGGTAACTATTAAATATCTGTCTGCATTTGAACTAATCATGTGAGTACTTGTATTTGCTAAAATATAAGAAAGGAATATACAGATGAACATTTTATATGACAATAAATAAAGAAAGAAAAAAAGAAAGAAAGAAAGAAAGAAAGAAAGAAAGAAAGAAAGAAAGAAAGAAAGAAAGAAAGAGAAAATATGCTGGAATAAGAGAGACAGGAAGAGAATGTTAACACGGGGTAAATAATATACGGAAGACAAGAGAAAGAATGTTCATTGTTGGAAGGTGGGAAAATTACTAATAATTTCTCTGGACACAGTATCAGGAGAGAGTATATATCTTTAGAATACAGTTTCATCTGAGAAATTAAATATACTTCATATGGTTTGGTGCTTTTAGTTTATCATCTTTGGATAACTTCACATAAGCAGTAATGAATATGCTTTCTTCTTCATAGCTTTCCATTGAAATAGGCCATGAAGTTAAAAATCAAAACAAACTATTAGCTGAAATGGTAAGTCATTATGATTTTTAACTAATACTAGTTTATTGTACTTTTCAAGCATTTCCTACAATATATCTTGAGTATTTTCAGCTCCCCGGCTCCTGCTCTTACCACTCTCCCAAGTCCCCTCACTCTTTATTTCCATGTAGTTTAAAGCCAGACCCTGACTGTGTACATCCTGATAGACTCCACTCCATTTTAATCTCATGATTTTACAATTTCTATCCGATGTATTTTTTCATTGTTTTTGTCTAAGATATAAATAAGAAGTGAAGATTGAAGCCAGTGTATTTTTTTTAACTGTGGATTTAAAGCACTATTAAAATCTGAAGGCTAATGGATATGCTGAGTGGTCTTAGAAATCTTAATGGGTAGGCCACTAGTAATTTATTAACCAAGCAATCAAAAAGCACTTTATATCAAACCAACTAAATGCTTTTCACTTAACAAACCCTTTCTTCAGCTTGATTTTCTAAGAAACTATTGAACAAATTCCTTGAACAATCTACTGAACAAATCTGAGTAGCCAGGGTCCCTTTATCTCTAGTCTAAAACAAGCTCAAGAGCATGTGCCTTTTCTTCTCAGAGCCAGCTTCTAGTCATTAATGATAACTTTGGATACACAGCTTCTCTAGACCTTCCTTTGTTTCTTTACATGCATTCAAAAATGACTATCTGAAAGCAAATATGACACTGAAAGCAGTGTTCTTTGAAAAACAGATATTCTTGTTTCTTCAAATAAGCTCATTCAAAATCTCAGAGAAGAGCCCAGCATATATTTTGTGAAAAAGCATCCCAAGTGGTTCTGATACAGTGACTCTGGTGACAAAGCAAAGTTCAAGTGCCCGAGTGTGTGGAGACTAAACTATGCAGAGCCCCTTTGTGCTGATTGCTTTCTCATCTCTGGATATTGGAGTTCTAATGCGAGTGCATTATTTCTAATCTGTGCCTAGTCCAGTCATCTTAAAGGCTGGCCTGGCTCTACTTTAATTTGGTATTTTCATGTCTGCATTTAAATATTCTCTACTTGTTGCTTTGTCAACATTATATTCTCTTAACACTAGTAAATTTTATTGTTTTTCAAACTCATGTGTCTAAACAAAGGCTCTACCAACTTTTGTGCTAGCCATATTAAATTTTAGATGAAGTCCTAGTATCTAAACACTCACAGATTTGACCTTGGAAAAATAGCACCTTGACAGAAAGTGGACAAAACTATACTTGATAGCATACAAATTATTCACCTTTATTCTTAATGGCTTTTCATCCATATGACTGGAATAAGAAAAAACTAAATCATTTGTGCTTTTTAATTATGTTTAAGAACTGAAAGAAATGCTTATTGGATAATGAAAGAACCCCTGAGAGAATTGCTTTCTTCTGCATGGAGCAATCACGCTGATTTGTAAGCTAATAGATACTTGAATTGATTAAACATACAGATTATCTTTAAAATACATACTAATAACAATATGTAAATTGTTTGAATGTGCGTGTTTAGAATATTAGAATTTATTCCGTTTTCCTTATTTCCTCATAGGATTCCCAATTTGATTCTACAACTGGATTTCTAGGTAAAACCATGGGAAGACTGAAGATTTTGTCCAGAGGGAGCCAAACAAAATTGCTATGCTATATGATGCTGTTTTCATTGTTTGTCTTTTTTGTCATTTATTGGATTATTAAACTGAGGTGATGCAAGTTAGCGTGGGCTTTGAATTTGCTGCAGTTAATGTCTTGGGGTACCACTTTGATAGCCAGCATCCCAGCATTCCTAATGGTCTTCTTCTCCATTGAAGATAAGTGGAGTTTTCCTCTTTCAGAAATCATACTATACCAGATAATGTTGTGAATACTCTTCCTTATTGACTCATTATGACTTCCATTGTCAGGAGTATTGAGTTAGCTTGAAGTCAATGTGGCTGTACCTATCTATGTTTTTCCAGTGTTTTCCAGTCAGAGTTAATATGACCCGGCTGTTACATAAGTGTAACTTTCTAAAGCAAGTGGAGAGCAGAAGAATTCCAGAGAACCTGGGATCAGCTTTTGAGAGGTGGTTGTGTGGTGGTAGAAAGCTCGCTTCTGTTTGTTTGACGTCATCCTTGTGATGATGGGCTCCTTTGCTTGGTACCATGTAGGTCCATTTCTTTCCCCCTACAATTTTCTTAATACATTTGTCACATGAATTCTTTGTACAAGGACTTCCTTCAGTAAAGTTATTGACATATTTCTACTGGAGCCTAATACACATATGTATCAACATAGGTATTGTTTTATATTAATGATAAATTCTACTGACTTGCTTTATAATAGTTTCTGATTTCTAGATGCTTTGGTGGACCATTTGATTATTATTTGTCAGAATAATGTAAAGTTAAGTGATTGCTAAGCTCTGACCAGAAAAGAAATGTCCAAGATAATTAATTGCCTTTGTTTCATTATATGCTCAAAATTAGTACTGAAAATATTTAGGCTTTGAATCCAGAGTTCAGAAGATTGTTATTCAGCTCCATTTTATTTGCTTACAGAAATCAAAACACAAGATGGATTTAAGTAAAGAAGAAAAAAACCCTAAAATATTGTAAAACACTCTGTATTGCTCTTACTTTAGAAATTTGCTTATTTCTAGGTTCAAAAATAAACTTTTATTAATATATGTTTATGGCTTCTTTAAGTGTTGTATATTCTTGGCATAAAATCTAATATCCCAAAAGCTCAGATTCCAAACAAAGTAAATCAAAATTAGTATTTGTATTAAATCAGAACAAATTTTGGCTGCAGCTTCAAAATATTTTCATTCTTTCTATTTCTCCTCAAGAGTCTCTCCCTTTGGGCTTGAATGAGTTTTCAAATCTTTTTGTTCATTTACAATTCCTTATCAGATCAAGGCTGTGTGTTTATCTGTTCTGGTGCCCCGTTTGGGCTTCTGTGTACAGGTTACAAACGCTGACTCTGAGTGAAGTGCCCTGAAGAGACAGGGCTGAGCTGTAGGAAAGAAGCTCTAATGTGTCTTAACGTCCTGCCTTACGAACACTATTCCTTCTGCACATGCTTGAGGCATGTAGCCTCTATTTCTTCCTCTGTGTACAGCTTAGAGGAAAGTGCCTGACCCACCATAGGAAGTGTTAGCCCTGTCCACACTCAATTACTCTTCATCCTTTTCAAGGTCAGACAGTAGTTTGACTTCAGGTCTTGAGATGCCGATACAACCTCTAAGCAGTTATTTTCATTAGGCATTTAGAGTGACTCATTGTTTCATGACAGTTTTAGCTGTCCTCTGCCTTAGGTGACATCACTTAAGGAAGACTCAGAAGTCGCCATCAGTAATTTAAGTTGTAGTTGGGACTTACCGAGAGAAAACAGTAGGAGTCACATGGGATGAGGGAGAAATGATTCTCCTACAATATCTGTCAGTATAACATTTTTATTTTCATGGAGATCTACGCTTGGGATTTCCTATCAAACCTTTATCTCTGTGTGCTAAGAAGCCAGAGGCAGGGAGTCCCCCTGAGGTACTGGCCTGCTCAGCTCTGCTCAGCATCCTTGACCACTATTCTGTTTCCTTTAGTTGGAAACCCTTAGGTAAAAGCAAACGCATTCCTGTGACTCAGATTTGGAGAAAAACTAAAATATGAAAAAGTTCTGTTTCTTTGTAATAGTATATAAACTCACCAGCTTATAAATAGTTTATAAACGTATGTGTCTTTAAAAGACGTGCTAATTTAGAGAAGTTGGCTGTAAATCATATGGTTAATGAACTATTCATGTTATCATCTTTATGTGAATGCTCAGAGACTAAAGTTCCAAATGGCATTTTTTTCCCTAAAACATGTAGTCGCTTTAATTCACTAGACGTTCTTTAGAAATATACCAAACTCTCGACTTGCAAATAATAAAAAGTACAACTTATTTTTATAGGCCTAATAGGCCTATGAGTGGGAAGGGGTGAACTATATGTTATTGATGTCATGTAAGTTATTCATATTCTAAAATATTTGAGCTGAGAATAAGTTAAATCTGGTGTGTGATATTTTGGTGCCGAGTGGAGAGCCCCGGCCCTTGGATCCATGCAAAGCTGGTTCTATAAAACTGGCTTTTAATTTTTTTTAATGCTTCTATGTTTAAAATTATATAGATAGTGAGTTTACTTAGTGAGAAGGTTGAAATAATGCTTAGTAATTGGAGCTGATCGTCATGTTGTGATGATCAATAAACTTACTGGCAAGGCTAAGTGTGTCAGAGCTAAACCTAAACCAGTAAAGTCACATCGCCGGACATAAACCCCAGCTGTACCCTACTCCAAGCTGATGATGACCCTTTAACCTCTGTATTTGTGAAATGAGTCATAATCACATATCAAAGTCGTTCCCTCCGAAGCTTTCTGTGACAATTGAATGAAATCCCATTTAAAATGGTCTAGCCTGGGCGCTTGGCATTGGTTCCTTGTTGAGGTTCTTGGGACGCTTATGTGTGACGCCACCTCACATGTGCTGATGAATTGGAGCTTTCTCCTCCCACTCTTCTGTCAGTAACAAAAATAACTGTCTTTTCTAGGAATCTTCTGGAATTTAGTTCATTTAGGTTCCTTTGCATCACCAACAATCTGATAGAATTATGTTTTAATCTGCAGCCTGTTTTGAGTTACTAGGGTGAGAACAGACCTTTTAACATTCTAGAAGCAAAGGCATGACCCGAGAGAAATAGAGAGTTGCCGACTTGTGCAGTGCCAATTCCTGCCAGTCTTTGTTTAATCTTCAAGATAAGTAGAAAATTAGGAATATGCACACATTTTTAACCAAATCAAACATAACAGGTCTGTCTTTAAAGTTCATATAAGCTTAGTTAATTATAACCTTTGAAACTAGTGTTATTAAAATATAACCACATTTTATATTTTAAGAGTATATATCCTACAGATTTTGTGGCACTTGAAACCTAATGTTTTTAATGAAGTAAGTCGACCTTGCAGGCCTCAACAAGTGTCAGAACTATGCAATAGTATATAGTTGTAATGTATGAAAATATATATTCCTGCTGTGCTTTCTCTTGTATCTATTCCTGTGGTAATGGCTCATAAGAATGCACGGATGGATATGCATAGATTCTTTGATGGCTGTAATGAATTTAGAAATGAGCAGAAGCACAAGACATCATCTTTTCAGAATTTATATAAAACATGCTAATGTAGAAAATTTAAAGTCATTGATTTACACTTTAAAATAATATAATTAATTATTTTCTCCTGAATTTTGTCACTAGCGAATGAGTAGAGAGCTAGAAGCAGATAGCTTCTTAGGCGTGTGCATTATTTGGTAACCATTGGTTTTAGAGCACTCAGGATAAACTCTTCCTTTCAAGGAAATTAGATGAGTGTTAAATGCAATAGCATGTTTCAGAAAAATTATTGAAATAAAGTGCATTAGATTCCTACAGATTTTATGCCTGGATGTATAAAGGGCCTTTTAACATTTTAATTTCACACTTAAATATTGAAAGATATTGAAGGCGAGTTGCTGGTCTTTACATACAGCCAAAACAAGTATAAAATGTATGTCAGTGGAGAAGTCAGCTAAAGAGCTTCATACTGTTAGATTCAAATTTAATAATTAGCGGGTTACCTTCTAGATTATTGCTTTAAAGACAAGCCAATTTCAGAGCAATATGTGCTGGTCAGCTTGATTAAACTCGTTACTTTGCATTTATTTCTCCTGACTAAATAGTTTGGACTTAATTGTGTTATTTCAAAAATGGATTTTTGAATTTTTTTTATTCCTTCTCTCATATATTGCATCCTGACCACAGTTTTCCCTTCCTCCCCACCTCCCATCTCCTCCCTTCCTCCACTTCCTTCCTCAGTTTCCCTTCAGAAAAGGGCAGGCTTCCCAGGGATATCAACCAAACATGGGATATCAAGTTGCAATTAGACTAGGCACTTCCCCACAACCCAGTGGGGGAAAAGGTCCTAAAAGACTCTGCCCCCACTGTTAGGAGTCTCACAAAAAGACCAAACTGCACAACCATAGCATGTATACAGAAGACACTGATCAGATCCATAGAGACTCCCTGACTGTAGGTTTGATCCAGGTGAGTCCCTATGAGCCCTAGTTAGTTGATTCTTGTGTGTTTTTTGTAGTGTCCTTGATCCTACCAGGGGCTGGCTCCTACATTTCTTCCTCCCCCTCTTCTGCAGAACTCTCTTGAGCTTCACCTAATGTTTGGCTGTGGGTCTCTGCATCAGTTTCATCAGGTGCTGGATAAAGCCTCTCTGATGACAGTTATGCTAGGATCCTGTCTACAAGTGTAACAGAATATCATTAGGGGATGATATATATCATCTAATATAAATATATTATCATATATATTACAGGCCATGGCCCATTCAGGATCCATATCCTCTATTACTATTAGTCTTAACTAGGGTCACCCTCAGAGATTTCTGGGTTTCTAGCTCATCCCTAAGATGCCCCCCAATTCCAGTTGTCTCTGCCAGTACTCTCCATCCTCCCTGCACCTAATACCTCCTGTTTCCATTCCCACCTGCTCTATCCACCTGTGATATCTGTTTCCCCTTCTCAGGGAGATTCATGCATCCTTCACCCCTGCCTTGTGCCAACCTTGTTACTTAGTTATTGGGGCTGAAGAAACTGCTTACTGGTAAAGGTACATACTGGCATACCAGAGGACCCAAGTTCAGTACTCACATTAGCTCCAGTGAGGATCTTATGCCTTTGGCTTCTGAGGGCACTTGTATTCATATGCACATTTCTATAACACACAATTAAAAATAAAAGTCTTAAAAATTTTTTGAATTAATTAAAAAATAAAATCCTTGGTATATACCAATAAAGGGGCCTTACATTGAATACCTGTGCTTTCTGTCAAGAATTATTCAGGGCCATAGTAGATGCCAACACATGTTTGAGAAATAAGTTAATGGTGTATTAATTATTCCTGCTAGAGGACCTATCTTTATGTTGTCATCTCTTACTAAAATTTCAGTATTGAGCTTCTAGAAGGCATGTAACTAAAAGATGATTTGGTCAATAAAATAAATTTACTAGCTGAGTTTTAAATTTTGAGTATTGGAGGAATAACATAGCGATTAGGTTAATTGGAGTATGAAAATTCTTGCTAATTTAAAATTTTTCCTATATTTTTCTCATTTATAAAGCTGAGAGTGTGGATTAAATTGAATGTCTTGTTTGTAGGGTCAAGAATGGATGTGATATAAGCCCAGGAGCAGAATAAAGGAAGAAAACTTTTAATATTCTTCCTCTTCGATCAAAATTCACATATCAAGATCAATGACTACAATGACCCAAGTTGATCCTGTAATTAATATTCTCCATTCCAGAAAACTTAGATTTTTTTCCTTTTAAAATTGACCCCTGTTTTGTTCTATTTCTAAATAATAAACTTAACTGCTGGCCATAACAAAGATATCAGCATTTTACTCAGAATCCAACAGAATGATGTGGAAACGATTTTCCATAGAGTAAGCTGGGTCCTCTCATTTGCTAGAGCATTTCACTGGCACACTAATTAAGGGCTTATTTAGGTGAGTTAGTGAGATCCATCACTGCTGTCAGCAGCGAGGCACTTCCAGTCACCATGACATCCATGGCTGGTTAGTAATTCAGTCATTCATTGACTCTTC